ACTGTGCTAGAGCCTTCTCAGCTCCTATGGTCTGATGAGCCACAGTCAGACACACTAGACCTTAACCCCAACATGGTGATGTCATTTTCTCCTCTCGTGAGCACTGAATAGCCAACTTTACTAGACAGCAGTTCATGTCTGTCTCCCCAAGCATCGGTATTCATCCTATTTGCTGTTTTCTCATAACACAGTAACATTTCATGGCATTTGGTACCACCATTGGTGTGGCCATTCCTCATCAATCAGCACCTACTTCCTGTCCTTTGAAAGATGAAGCTTGTTCTATAAAGGGCTTTCTTTTTGTTAGTGACTTCCTCAGGGCATATACCCAGCAGTAACATCTTTGGTTCAAAAGGGTATGAATGGGGTAGCTAAATGGCAAAGTGGATAGAGCTCTGGCCTAGCAGGCAGGAGTACCTGAGTTCAAATCTGGCCTCAGACACTTGACATTTACTAGCTGTGTGACCTGGGCAAGTCACTTTACCCCAACTGCTGCACTCCAAAAAAAAGAGAGAGAGAAAAAAATGGGTATGAACCAGGGGTGGGGAACATGTAGGCCACACATGGCCTTCCAAGTCCTTGGGTACAGTCTTTTGACTGAGTCCAAGTTTTACAGAACAAATCCTTTTATTAAGGGGATTTGTTCTGTGAAGTTTGGATTCAGTCAAAGGGCTGCACTTGAGGACCTAGAGGGCCACATATGGCTTTGAGGCTGCAGGTTCTCCACCATTTGTATGAACATTCAAGTCACTTTAGTTAGATAATTCCAAACTGCCTTGCAAAATAGTTGGACTAATTCACAGTCCCAACAGAACATTACTGTGTTTATCTTTCCACATCCTTTTGAACACAGACTATTCCCATGGTTTTTCCTCTTTTGCAGGATAAGAGGTAAAATTTCAGGATTATATTGATTTGCATTTATCTTATTACTAATTGATTTTATATGGTTGGGTTTGCAATTTTTCTTTGAAGAACCACTCCTTCACTATGTTTTAAGTGTTAATCACTGGGAGAATCATTTGATATTGTATGTTTTGTAATTTGTCTACAGACAGTGTTCCAAAAACTTTCATGGAGCTTTAAATTTGAAGTTTAAAACTGCAGTAAGTATTTTTGGACACCATATGTATTGAATATCAGGTCCTTAGAGACTTTTGATAAAAAGTTTTGATCTCTCCCTTCTTACCTTAGTTGCATTAATTTTATTAATGAAAAGGCTTTGCAATCTCATCAGACTGAAAAGGCCTATTTTTTTTGTCATCACCTGTATCCCACATTTGATTAATAATTTACACCACAGTCATCTCTTATTCTAGCTCTCTTCCAATTATTCCAATTATTTTTCAGGAACCATATTCATTTTGTTTATTGTTGTACATAGTATAAAATGGGGTTCTAAGCTTTTTTTTTTGCTAGATAATGGGGTTATGTGACTTACCTAGGGTCATACAGCTAGTAAGTGTCAAGTGTCTGAGGCTGGATTTCAAGTCAGGTCCTCCTGACTCCAAGGTCGGTGGTCTATCCACTGTGTCACCTAGCTGTCCCTTAAACTTATTTTTTTCAAGACTACTTTTCAGTTTCCCCAGAAATTCTTGTTGATAGATCCCAATTACTAGTATCATCTTGGCATTTTGAAATGTAGCATTAAAGCTTAGTGAGAGACATAGCTAAGCTAAGTCATCCTCAATGAGTTAAAGAATGACAATGGAAGGCCAAAAAAGGAAAGGAAAACAGAAAAGCCTTGCAAAAATTTTTATAAAACCTTTTCTCACCAATAAGGACAGTGGTGCAACAATATATTGATTTGAAATTGCATTTCTGGAAATGCAGACAGAAAAGGCCGAAAAGGATGAGGGAGGGGATTGGAACAAGCTCACACAGAGGAGATGCTGCTGAAGTTATGAGCATGCTGGGTTAATGATTCATAAGGTAGGTGAAGAGAAAGAGAGCAAAGAGTTAGGAAAAACCTTAGACCTCATTTCAACGTCTCAAAAGGTGAAAAAGAGAACAATGACAACTACTGATTTATATACCTACTTTCTCATTTATAAAAAATAAATTTTCTCAATAATACTAGACACAAAGAAATCAAAGCTATCTCGTTATATGAAACAATGCTCTAAATCACTTGATTAGAGAAATGCAAATTAAAACAACTTTTGAGGTTCCACCTCACACCTATGAGATTGGCTAATAGACAAAAAAAAAGAAAATGTTGGATGTTGGAGAGGATGTGGGAAAACTGGGACACTAATACATTGTTGGTGGAGCTGTGAACTGATCCAACCATTCTGGAGAACAATTTGGAACTATGTCCAAGGGCTTTAAAACTGCATACCCTTTCATCCAGCAATACCACTGCTAGGTCTATATCCCAAAGACGTCCATGAAAAGGGAAAAGGACCTCATTGTACAAAAGTATTTATAACAGCTCTTTTTGTGGGGGCCAACAATTGGAAATCAAAGGGATGCCCATCAATTGGGAAATGGCTAATCAAGCTGTAGGATACAATTGTAACGGAATATTATTCTGCTGTAAGAAATGACAAGCAGTATTGTACTACAAGAAATGATGAACAGGCTGATTTCAGAAAAACCTGGAAAGACTTGTATGGTCTGATGCTGAGTGAAATGAGTAGAACCAAGAGAACGTTGTACAAAATAACAGCCACATTGCGTAATGACTAATATTGATAAACTTAACCCTACCCAGCAATACAAGGATCAAAAACATATCCAAAGGCCACATGATGGAAAATGCTATCCATATCCAAAGAAAGAACTATGGAATTTGAATGCAGATTGAAGTATACTATTTGCTATTTTTTTTTCTCTTTTGTTGCATTTTGTTTCCTCTTTCTGGTGGTTCCTCCTATTGCTTCTAATTCTTACTTACAACATCACTAATGTGAAAATATGTTTAATAGGAATGTAGATGTATAGCTTATATTGTGCACCATCTTGGGAAGGATGATGAGGAGAAAGGGGAAGAAAAATTTTAAACTCAAAAAGCATACAAAAGTGATTGCTGATGAATCAAAAGAAAGAAAAAAGAAAAAAAGAAAAAGAAATGACAGGCATGATGATTTCAGAAAAATCTGGAAAGACTTCCACGAACTGATGCATAGTGAAGTGAACAGAGCCAGGAGTATATTGTACAAAGTAACAGCAATACTGTTCAATGAAGAACTATGAATGGCTTAGCTATTCTCAGCAATACCATCATCTAAGACGATCCCAAAGGAGTAATGATGAAGCACACTCTCCACCTCCAGAGAAAGAACTGATATTGTTTGCAAACAGACTGAAGAATGCTATTTTTCACACTTTTATTTTTTTTCCTGTTTTCTTCGAGTCTTCTCATACAAAATGACTAATACGGCAATGTTTCAGAAAATCATACATGTATAACCTAAATCTGATCGTTTGTTGTCTCATGGGGATGGGGGAGGGAGGGACTTGGAACTCAAAATTTTAAATAAAAATATTTCAGAAATTTTTAAAAAGAATACTAGACAAATGAAAAAACATTCTTGATGAAGGTATCACTGAGGAAACAATATAATCCTAGCAATCACAGAAAAAGGGATTTCAGAAACCACTGAATCCAGATCAAATGCAAAACTCAGTACCCCCTCCACCACCACCAATCTGACCAGTAGTCATCTACCTTCATCTTGGCAAAAATGTCCAGTTAGGAAGAATTGATTACTTCCCTCAAGGCCATCTATTTTACTTCTGGACAGCTCTACTGTCACGGGGGTTTTCCTAACTTCAAACTTTTATTTACCTCTTTGCAACTTGCTCCTCTTTCTACCCTCTACAATCAAATAAAGATAAAATTTTGTGCAAACTTTTAGTAAGCTATCATGGGGGAGGCAGTGGAGTTATACACTTGCTGCCCAACATAAGGTTCCTCTATCCTGAGTTTTTCCTGCTCATGGTTTGACACATCAAATTTCTCCTCTTAACCACACTTACCAGAAATGGACTGTAGTGACACACTACTTGGGCAGCACAAAGAGATTTCCTTTTAGTTTTCTAAATTTTCAGTGGGTGTTCACTGGATAAAATACCACCCATGTTCCTTCATTCTAAAGCCATGATATCAAGTATATTATTCTCCAGCGTGTATCCTGTTTGTTCTCAAGAAATACTCTCTCAAGTTAATAACATTCATACAATTTTCTCCAGTTCTCATCTATTGATACAGAATAAGCATTCTGCCATTTAGGAAAGCCCACCCTCATTTCTAATTTTCCTATAAAGCAAGACTTAAATGATGAACTTCTATAAATTCTCTGTAGGGAAAGGCTTTGCAATGATTGTATTTGCATACTTTCTGTCCAGTACGAAATTTCTGAAGTCAAGAGAGTATGATGCCCCATTGGAAGGTCTTTTAACATGCATTATGGTCATTAGTTTTATCTTTGATATAAAATCTGTAACATTACTAAGTTCCCAGTTCCAATGGTTGACAATCTAAAATATATTACATTCATAAAGGTTCCTCTGAAATGACGTATTTGATGGAAGTCATATCTCCTTCACAAAGCCCCTCCTATGATCATTTCTGTAAAGCTACCATTGACAATGCTTCAAGGCTTGCAAAATTGTGTACATATTTTACTTCATTGGATTTTCAAAGGAACCCTGATATCATCCCTCACTTGCAGATGGAGAAACTAAAGCCAAGAGAGGTTAACTGACCTGTCAAGACGCACATAGCTCCTACGGCAGAATCTGAACTCAGGTCTTCCTGATTCCAAACCTGGTATTCTTAGACACTTTACTACCAAAGCATTTCATCACATTGTTAAGGTTCCTCTCCAGTATTTTCTAATATTTAATAATGTTTTCTTCCAACTGAAGGCTTTCCTACAATTAAGTTTCTCTCCAGTATGAATTGTGATTCTGAGCAAGTTCTAAGCTCCCTTGGATGGCTTTCCCAAATTCATTGTTTTTCCCCTCATTGTTAAGATTCAAAAGAACACAAGTTAATAATTCAATAATAATTTAATGGAATAAGATTTAACAATATGTCTTCTCTGCCAAAAGTCTATCATATTCCAAAAGTTTCTCTCCTATGTTAAATTTCTGATGTTCAAGAGTCATTTTCCAACTTAAGGCCTTCTGACATTCTGATGAAATCTTTCTCCTGTGGGTTTTCTGATGTTCTGTAAGAATTGTCTTCCTGCCAAAAGCCTTCCCGCACTGATTACACTGAAACGGTTTTTCTCCAGTATGAATTTTCTGATGTTGACTAAGACTTGTCTTCTCTCTAAAAGCTTTCCCACATTCATTACATTCATAAGGTTTCTCTCCAGTATGAATTTTCTGATGTCGAGTAAGTCTTGTCCTCCTGGTGAAAGCTTTCCCACACTGATTACACTGATATGGTTTCTCTCCAGAATGACATTTCTGATGTTTACTTAGTCCTGTCTTCTGACCAAAGGCTTTCCCACATTCATTACATTCATAAGGTTTCTGTCCAGTATGAATATTGTGATGTTCAATAAGTGTCCTCTTCTGACTGAAGGCTTTCCCACATTCCTTGCATTCATAAGGTTTCTCTCCAGTATGGATAATCTGATGTTTAGTAAGTCTCTTCTTCTGATTGAAGGCTTTCCCACATTCATTACACTGATAAGGTTTCTCTCCAGTATGAATATTCTGATGTTCAGTAAGTGTGTTCTTTTGATTGAAAGCCTTCCCACATTCATTACATTCATAAGGTTTCTCTCCAGTATGAATATTTTGATGTTCAGTAAGTGTTCTCTTCTGATTGAAGGCCTTCCCACATTCAGTGCATTTGTAGGGTTTCTCTCCAGTATGAATTTTCTGATGTCTTGTAAGTCCTGTCTTCTGACTGAAGGCTTTACCACAATTACTACATTCATAAGGTTTCTCTCCAGTATGAATATTCTGATGACAAGTAAGTCCTATTTTCTGACTGAAGGCTTTCCCACATTCCTTACATTTGTAAGGTTTCTCTCCAGTATGAATTTTTTGATGTTGAGTAAGGATTGTGCTCCTGGTGAAGGCTTTCCCACATTCATTACACTGATAAGGTTTCTCTCCAGTGTGACTTTTCTGATGGTCAGTGAGAATAGATTTCCTGCTAAAAGCCTTTCCACAAGTATTACATTCATATGGTTTCTCTCCAGTATGAATTTTCTCATGACAAGTAAGTCCTGCCTTGTGACTAAAGGCCTTCCCACATTCATTACATTGATATGGTTTCTCTCCAGAATGAATTTTCTGATGACTCCTAAGTCCTATCTTTTTATGGAAGACTTTCCCACATTCATTACATTCAAAAAGCTTCTCCCCAGTATGAATTCTCAGATGGTAGACAAGTCCTGACTTTTGACTAAAGTTTTTCCCACATTCATTACATTTATAATTGTTCTTCCCAGTATGAATGTTCTGATGTCCATTCAGTCCCGCCTTCTGACTGAAGGCTTTCCCACATTCGTTGCATTCATATGGTTTCTTGATCTTATGAATATTCTGGTTGTCAGCAAATGTTCTCTGCAGCCTGAAGGCCTTTTCACATTCGTTACTTTCATAAGCTTCTTCTCCAGTATGAATTCTATTATGCATAGTAATGTCAGCTTTCTGTGAGTAGGCCTTTTTATACTCATTACTTACATACGCTTTTTCTCTAGCATGAATTCTCTGATATTCTATAAGTCCTGTCTTCTTACTAAAAGCTTTTCTATATTTGTTACATTCAAAATATTTTTCTACAACAGGAATTCTGTGATTCTGAGAAATGTTTATGCTACTTGACAAAGTCTGATCACATTCACTCCCTAAATGTGCTCTCTCTCCATTCTGTTGACTGTGATGTTCACTGAGGTCTGAGTCATAACTAAACAATTTCTCACCTTCATTATACCTAGAAAACATCTTCTTTAAGGAAATTCTCTTCTGTTTATTCAGGTATGAATGCAATGGGACTCTCCTTTGCTCTGTAACACACGGATGAAGAAGATTCCTTGCAAGAAACATTTTACGTTGGGGGAAAAGGATTGCTCCTTGGCAGAAGCCTCCTTTATGTTCTTTATATGCATCGCCTCTAACTTGATTGAGAGTCTTCATTTCAAATATTTGCTTATGTCCAAAAAGTTCCTCTTCACTGCTCTGCTGTTTTTCTAATAAAGCATAACATTCCCTGGCTTTGCCAAACTTGGAGACACAGAGACCACCCACATGAACTCTTCCTTGGAATGGCTCTTCCATGGAGAAGCCACATGTTGGAGGGGACTCCCTGGTTTCAGGCCTACTGTCCCAATCTGAAAGACATTTGCCAATCAAGGAAAACATCAATGAGAACAATGTTAATTAATGGGAGGCAGAACAACAACAAAGTAATCAAAATGGAAATTGGGAAATTATCATAACCAAGTTGCGTTCCAAAAATGAACAAGAATTAGGAGTCAGAGCACCTGAGTTTAACCCCTGCCTTGGTCATAGAGGGCAGGTCACTTTGAATTGGTCACAGACTTTCTAACCTCAGTTTCCTCATCTGTACAATGAGAGGCTTAGAACAGATGACTTTGAGGGCTCCTGTCACCTCTAATCTTGGATCCAGTGATATCCTTTCTTTGCAGAGGTGGGGGACTACAGGTGTGGAATCCTGCATGACACATCAGACTTAGCTGATGTGCTGATCAGCATGGCTGAACTCTTTATTTTCATTAGTTAGTATTCACAGAACAACAGAGACACACACAACGTTCATGAATGGAGAAGCAGAAGGGCTCCTGAGGAGCAGGTCAGGCACTAAAATGGTGAAAGAGAAAACTCCTCTCCTTTCTCGACGCCCTCCCCTGAGACTGGAGGGACAAACCAGCAGAAGATGAGGCTCTGGGAAGCAGCCCATCCCAGACGGCCTCAGCTCTGCTCCACAGCGACCTCAGGAGCTGTGAGAAATCCCTGACCAAGCCTGTCAGAGGCCCTTCTCCAAACAACCAGCTGGGATGTTGCTGATAGCGACTCACCTGCTTTGCACTCACTCACCTGCACAGGTGCTTCTTGGGCCCTCTCCCTCGGACACCCAAACCACTTCCCCTCGCTCCAAATGACCAATCACAGCTGGTTTAGAAACTGCTAGTCCTGCACATGGGAATGCAAAGATGCTGGTTCAGAAAGCTGGCTCAGAATTTGGACCATCTCTCACAGGGAAAAATGGGAATGCCAGGAAGGCCTAAAGAGAGGGACAAAGGACCACTGACCTGGGCTCCCAGGACGTACAGGAGAATGCATTAAGGAGTGAACCTGGCCCCAGAAAGGACCCCCCAAGACCATGGGAACCTTCCATGTCTCCAATATCTACACAGGAAATTTAAGGAAGGATCTCGGACTTGAGGGGAAAAGGAACAACACAGGAAGAACCTCAGGACCACACAATGAACCTGCCAATGTCTTTCACCTGGACACAGGCAGAAGCAGCCTGTGACGTGGCCACAAAATGATGGGCAACCTAGAATTTCTGCATAAGAAACAAGAACTGATAAACACAGGACAGAAGCCACAGCATTCAGTATGGAAGGAAGCAAAAGTTCCCCACTACAAAGAGTCTGAGTCCCTGGGGAGCCATCCTTACCCAGCCAGACCAGGTTCCTGTAGTTCTCCAGCATCACGTCCCTATACAGCTGCTTCTGGGCAGGGCGCAGGCGTCCCCACTCCTCCCAGGTGAAGTCCACAGCCACGTCCTTGAAGGTCACTGATTCCTGAAATACCAATTCTATTTCTGCATCTTCAGGGCCCCTTCCCAACAGGGACTCAAGAGGTCAAGGCTGGTTTTCACAGAATCATGAAATTTAAGAAGGAAAAGGGTGCTCAGAAGCCATCTAGTCCAACCCACCTGAACAAGCACTGTAGGCACCACTTCATTGTTTTCTGGTCTTGTTGGCAGAGAGTAATGCTCATTTTGGATAATGTTTCTCAGAAGTCAATGGAATGGAAAGGTTTTTTGTGCAAGAAATGAAAGGCAGTAAGACTGCATCTGGGATCACCCAATATCAAAAAGAAACAGGTTGATAATCTAAGGAAGATGTTCCCCTCACATACCTGGTGACTGCTGGTGGGCAGGACCACTGGGACCATTGTCTTCTACTCGATGTCCACACCCACTGGGGAAGGGCAAAGTCCTCAGAAATCAGAGCTGGAGGAAAGAGAGGAAACCATGAGCAGGCACAGCCTCGGCCCCTCTTTTGGCCTTCAGAGTCCTGGCTGTGTCGATGAAGTAAAAGAGATGGAAGACAAGAGCTTCTCTGCTTCCATCTGGGCCCCCCAGCTCCCAGTCATGGAGGTTCACACCTCCGTCATCCTTGCTCTTTTATTCCCCTCATCAAACACACCCCTTCAGATGCCAAGTCTCACAGATCCTAATGCCAAAGCACCTTTCATGACCCTCCAAATCACCCCTACAGTTTAAGCCCTCCTCACCTCTCACCTGCATTTAACCTTGCAACAGCCTAGCTGGCCTCTGTCTACAGAAAAGGCCAGGTCTGATTCGCCTACTGAGTAAACTCCACTCACTCCCTGCTGCCTCCAGCAGGAAGCAGAATCCTCTGCTTGGCATTCCACCCTTTCATACCTAGCCCCACCCCCTTGCAGCCTCCCCCATACTCTGCCCTCTAGGGATGCTGGCCTCCATGCTGGTCCTCAAACCCAACACTTCATCTGCCACCTGAGCAAATATTTTCACCAGCTGGGCTCCATGCCCACATTATTCTCTCTCCTCCCGTCTGCCTCCTGGCTTCCCTGCCTTACTTGAAGGCTTAGTTCAAACCCCACCTCCTACAAGAAGCCTTTCTCAATCCCCCTTAATGCCAGGGCCTCCCTCAGTTGGTGATTTTGGAATTATCTTGTATGTTTCATAGTTGTTTGCATGTTGTTTTTCCCCCACAGACTAATAAGAGCAGGACCTGGGCATACTTTGGCCCTTCTTTGTATCCCCAACACTTAGCACACTGCCTGGCACACAGTAGGCATTTAATAAATGCTTGCTGACTTGGCTTCCTGCGAATCTCTCCTCTCTCTAACCTGTCTTCTTCAAGGCTGCCACACTCCTAATTCTAAAGCTCCTGTAGCTCCCTATTACCTCCAGGATTCGGTAAATTCCTTTGTCTGGCACCTAAAGCCCTTCACCATCTTGCTCCAGGTCACCTTTCCAGACTTATTACACAACTTTTCCCTTCACAAAAGCTCTATCGGCCAGCTGAATGGGCCTGCTTGCTGTTCCGCATTTATGACAATCTACCACCCATCCTGGTGGTAGAGGAAGGGGAGGGAGAGGAAATCAGAATGGAGGAGGCATCCTGAGCAATGACAACATCAGACTCATTCCAAGAAGATAAAATGTACATGGGGGAACCATGGGGCAGAGATAAATGTAAAGGTCCTATGGAGAGGGCCCAAAAAGAAAATTCACCACCAAAGGAAAGGGGCGGGCTGGTCAGAAGAGGGCACAGCAGACTGCGCCTGCGCCAACGCTGGTCCAAGAGTGATTACACAAGAGTGCGCCTGCGTAAAAGTACTGGCGTGCAAAAAAAGGTGGGAGAAGAGTAAGGGAAGGGCTGCGCCTGCGCAGAGGTAAGGCTGAATTGGTCCTTCTTAGGCCCCCTCAGGAGGGAAGCAGGCTGAGGAACATGGCGCCTAAGCCTTCGTCCCCACCCCCGGTGCCCGTTAGCCGTACCTCGGTTTCCAGCTGCGGGACTACGCATTCCCCAGCCTCATGTCTCCTCGCCTAAGCAGATTTCAGCCAACTGTGAAGAAGCAAGGACTGTCCGGCCAGGGAGAGGCTCGAGTTCCGGGGCGAACGAGTCACGTGGCACGAATCCAACTCGCCTTCTGGGTCTGCTCAGCCTTCTGGGAAACGTAGTTCGGCACCCCGCGGATTCTGCGCATGCTCAAGAAAGCCCTTTGCTTGCCCAAAGTCCAGAGCTCTCTCTAGGGGAGGAAAACCTCCCCAAGGTGTTCCTGACCTTTATGAACACGTCTGCAGACACACACACACACACACGTATACATATGTGCACATATACACACGTATCACATAAGTCCATATACAGGTATATGACATACGTATGCACATATAGCTGGTTCTTTACAATCGGTTTCCCTTGGAATCCTATGTATTTGGTTTCGTATTTTCGTTCTCGTTTGAATTTAAAACCAGGATTCTGAAGAAAGGTCCATCCATAGGCTTCAGCAGACTCCCAAAGGGTTCCGTGTCACAAACAGGTTTAGACAAGAGCATTCCCAGGATCTACCAGTCTAGAACCTCTCCAAAAAGGGCGATGTTTCCAACTTCTCAGTCCTTGAAAGCACAGGCAACATGTCCAAGGTGTTTTGGCAGCAAGGGAAAAGAGGAGGGCTGGTCAGTTACCATTCATTAAGCACCTGTTTTGTGCCAGATGGGCAGCTATGTGGCGCCATAGTGCACAGAGCACTGGGCTTGGAATCAGGAAGACTCTTCCTGAGTTCAAATCTGGCCTCAGACACTTACTCCTTTGTGACCCAGGGCAAGTCACTTAATCCTGACTGGCTCACCAAAAAGAAAAAAAGAAAAAAGAATGAGTGGGTTAAAGAAAGAATCATAGAAACAATAGTTTCATTAAAGTGAATGACAACAATGAGACAACATAGCAAAATTTATGGAATGTAGCCAAAGCAGAACTTAGAGAGAAGTTACATCAATAAAACAGAGAAAGCGGAGCAATGGATTGGGCATACAACTAAAAAAAACCTAAAAAAGAACAAATTCAAAATTTCCAATTAAACACCAAATTGGAAATCCTGAAAATGAGAGATTAATAAGATGGAAAGAAAACCAGTGAATTAATAAGTAACACTAGGAGATGGGTTTTTTTGGGGGGGAGGAGGACCAATAAGATAGACAAACTGTTGATTAATTTGATTTAAAAAAGAAAAAAAAACAAATTACTAGTATCAAAAATGAAAAGTGTGAATTCAACATCAATGAAGAGGAAATTAAAGCAATCATTAGGAGCTATAGTTCCCAAATTCTATGTCAATAGATCTAAGAGTCTAAGTGAAATGGATGAATACAAACAAAAATACCAATTTCCCAGATTAACAGAAAAGGAAATTGAATACTTAAACCACTATATCTTAGAAAAAGAAATCAAACAAGTTCTCAATGAGTTCCCTAAGAAAAAAACATCCCCAGGACCAGCTGAATTCACAAGTGAATTCTACCAAACATTTAAATAACAATAAATGTTAATGCTATATAAACTATTTGATAAAACAGCCAAAGCAGTCCTACCAAATTCCTTTTACAACACAAACATGGTGCTGATACCTAAACCAGAAAGAGCAATAACAGAGAAAGAAAAGTCTAAAACAATTTCCTTAACAAATATTGATTTAAAAATTTTTACATAAAATGCTGGGAAGATTACAGCAATACATCACAAATTAGGGGAGCATGAAATAGCTTATCTGTCAGATCTATAAATAAGGGAACAATGTATGATCAGGCATGAGAGTAGACAACATTACAGGATATAAAATGGATTATTTTGATTACATTAAATTAAAAAGGGTGTGCACAAACAAAATCAATGCACCCAAGATTAGAAGGAAAGCAGAAAACTGGGGGAAATTTTACAGCAAATTTCTCTGGTAAGGGCCTCATTTCTCAAATATATAGAAAGCTTAATTAAATTTATAAGAATATAAGTTATTCCCCACTTGATAAATGGTCAAGGGATATGAAGTCAGTTTCCAGACTAGGAAATCAAAGCTATCAAGTCATAGAAAAATCTTCTAAATCACTATTGATTAGAGAAATTCAGATTAAAACAACTTTGAGGTACCACTTCACACCTATCAGATAGCCTAATAAAACAGAAAAGGAAAATGACAAATGCAGGAGGGAGTGTGGGAAATTTTGGACACTAATGCACTGTTGGTGGAGTTCTGAACTGATCCAACCATTCTGTAGAACAATTTGGAGCTATGTCCAAAGGCCAAACACACTGTACATACCCTCTGACCCAGCAATACGACTACTAAGTCTGTATCCCAAAGAGACCAAAGAAAAAAGGAAAGGGACCTATATATACAAAAATATTCACAGCAGCTCTTTTTGTGTTGGAAAAAAATTGGAAATTGAAGGGATGCCTATCAATTGGGGAATGGCTGAATAAGTTGTAGTATAAGATTGTGATAGAATACTATTGTGCCATAAGAAATGATGAGCAGACAGACTTCAAAAAAACCTGGAAAGACTTCCATGAACTGATGCAAAGTGAAGTGAACAGGACCAGAACACTGTACACCGTAACAGCAAATATTGTACAATGATCAGCTGTGAGTGTGTTAGCTATTCTCAGCAATACAGAGATCCGAGACAATTCTGAAGGACTAATGATGAAAAATACTATCCACCCCCAGAAACAGAACTGATGAAGTCTCAATTTACATCAAAGCATACTAATTTTTAAACATTGTTTTACTTGGGGGGCTTTTTTTTGGGGGGTCATCTCTTTTCTTTTACAACATGATAAATGTGGAAATATGTTTTGCATGACTGCTTATGTATAATAATCTATTGTGATGAATGAAAAGTTGAGAGACACAACTTCTGGGTAATTAATCATTTTATCAGTTATGGCTAGCAAATAATTAATAAAAGGATTTTCAATCAAAGACCCCTCCTGAAGGCCTCTGGATGTTTATATATCCTTGGTAGAGTGGCTGTTTCCAACAGGTGATAATCAACTGTGATTGGTTAACAATTAATGAGAGAATGAATATTATAATGAGGTGGACCTAATCAAATGACAGGCTAGGGGACTTGACTATGAATATGTTATTCTTACTCCCAGACCACCTCTAGCCTAAGACAATCCAGAAAAAGGATCTACACCCAACCAAGCTTTTCTGAACAGAAGGGCTGGATTTGCCTAGATTACATTCTTTTTACTTTTTAATCGGAACTAAGTTTCTCCAGTTGGGTGGGCTCTAAACAAGATTGAGGAGAATGTTAAATTCAATTTCATCATCAGCCCTGGTCTCAAGAGGCTAATTTGATCTTGTAGAGAATGAGAGAAATAACAAAGTTAAAAAAAAAACCCAAATCCTCCATAGTAATTGGTTATTCCTATGAGAGAAATATCAAACTGCGTGCCTTCACAATGATGAGGGAGGGGAAAGAGGGAAAGAGCTGAGAACTCAAAATTTTTAAAAATTAAGGTTAAGATTGTTTTTACATGTAATTGGAAAAAATTTTTTTAATAATAAATAATAAGAAACAAGAATCTTGTCCATTGTTTTTAGTCTTTAGGTTTTATGTCCACCATTGTTGTTTTTTCTAGTGGGAATCCCACTTCTGCTCTCAAGGCATTCTTTCTCAAATTCATTACATTCATATAATTTTTCTCCACGTTGAATCCACTGATAATTGAGCAATCATTTTACCTTCCAGGAAGGTCTTCCTTCATTTTTGAGGTTTCTATAAAGCAAGGTTAAATGACCTTTACATTCTCTATGATGGAAGGCTACATTCACTACATTCATAGGGTTTCTCTCCAATATGAATTTTCTGACATTCAAAGTCTGATCATTCACTCCAAGTCCTTTCAACATGTATTATATTCATTAGTCATTTCTCTAATATGAATTCTGTAATGTTAAGTTCTGACTGCCATTGCTTAGCCATTCCAAATTTATTACATTTACAAATTTTCCCTCTAAATTTACAAATTTCTCTCTCTTCTGACTTCCCAGATATTCCATAAGGTATATCCCCTTCCCAAAGGCCTTCATACTATGTGTGTGTGTGTGTGTGTGTGTGTGTGTTTTAGGTAATGCTTTAATGTTTGCAAAGCTCTACGTACATAATCCATTATGGTGTTTGATAAGAATTATCCTCCTATGGAAGGCCATTCCTGTTCATTACATTGCTATTTTTCTTTAGTATGGATTTTCTGATGGCAGGTCAGTCCTGTCTACTGACTGAAGTCTTTGCCCTATTTATTATATTCATAAGGTTTGTCTCTAGTAAGAATATTTGATGTACAGGAATTATGCTTGTCTTAAAAGTGTGCTGTGAATATATTTTCTTTTCAAGAAGTCAGCTGATCAGCTTTATTGGTACACACCAGCACATGGAAATAGCAGGTTATATAATCGATTCTCTAGAATTGTTTCTTTCTTCATTTGTTTTTTGCTAGTCAATGAGGGGACGTGACTTGCCCAGAGTCATGGAGCTAATGAGTGTTATGTGTCTGAGACTGCATTTGAACTCAGGTCCTCCTGACTCTAGGCCCAGGGCTCTATCCACTGTGGTACTTAGCTACCCTTAGAATTCTTTTTTTAAATTTTTTTTAACATAAATTTATTTATTTTTAGCTTTCAACATTCACTCCCACAAGTTTTTGAATTCCAAATTTATACCCCATCTCCCCCCTCCCCCACCCCAAGATGGCATGCATTCTGAATATCCCTTCCCCTAGTCTGTCCTCTTTTCTATCTCTCTCCCCTTCTCTTATCCCCTTCCCCTTCTATTTTCCTATAGGGCAGCATAGACTTCTGTACCCCATTTCCTGTATTTCTTATTTCCCAGTAGCATGTGAAAACATTTTTTTAAACATATGTTTTTAAAACTTTAGGTTTCAAATTTTCTCTCTTCCTCCCTCCCCACCCACCCTCATTGAAAAGGCAAGCAACTCAATATAGGTTGTACATGTGCAGTTATGCAAAACACGTCCATAGTAGACATGTTGTGAAAAACTAACTCTATTTCCCTTAATCCTATCCTGCCCTCCCATTTATTCTATTCTTTCTTTTGACCCTGTCC